TAAATTCCAAGGTTACACATTTTTTTAATGACCACAGTAAATCTATCTAGAACTTGTTCTAACATTTGGACAATTATTCCTCGTATGCCCGGGAAGACCGGGAAGACGACTTATTCTGCACAATCTTTCCATTTTCTCAGTTGTATCCATTTCAGTTGTAATTCGCGTGCTTTTGGGGCGACCCTTTTTGTTTCGTCTCATATTTTCGTTGTGGTAGATTGTGTCTCCATGATAGGTTGGCCAATATTCCTCACTAGCTACCACTGGAAAACTGTTATTGTAGATACCGAATAAGTTCACGACCTTGTAAACTTCTGATAGTTGCAAAAATGGATTGTGACGAGCACTGGAACATGCGGCAATGACATGTGAACAAGGCATGCGGAAGGTTTGAAACTTTCCGCAGTCGCACCAATTTTTATGAAGTTCCACCCTGTAGTGTCCCATTGGTCGATCCTCATTGTGATCCATTGTCTCATCAACAATGAAGCTGTAATCGTGATGATCAAATGGTCTAACTCGATGTGAGGCCGTCTTAGAAGTTTCATCTTTCTTATATTTCATACTTGATTCACTGAATATTTGCCCTGATTCCAAAACAGCGCTCCATATTCATAAATCGTAAAGGGAGGCGCCATAGGGGTTGGCTCCCCTTCTTTAAAATTAAAGGGAGGCGCCATGGGGGTTAGCTCCCCTTCCTTAATATTAAAGGGAGGCGCCATAAGGGTTGGCTCTCCCGTGACATGTGTACGAAAAGTGATATTTGCATGCGTGCAGAATGACAAGTGTGGAAGATTTTCTACACACTTCATCCATCTCATTTACTTCTCTACACATCAATTAATATTTCAACTACACAAATTTAATTTTTACCTCTACCACCATAAATTCAAAATTCAAAATTCAAAATTCAAAATTTTTACTATAAATACTTCTCCTCCTTATTGTCAAAAACTCATCAAATATATTCCACAATTCAAATTCTACCAATATTTTCTTCATATATTCACACTATAGAAGAAATGTCTCTGTTAACATTAGGCGAAGTGCATAGAGGAACACCAAGCAACATCGCGTCTTATGTAAGTATTTGTACCCGATAATACACAATGTTGTATTGATTTATAGCATTATATGTTTTTACAAATACAATGTTGTAATGATTTGTTTTATTGTTTTGTAGAATACTCATGACTTCCGAACTCGTGGGCATAAACATTTCCCACATGACCCGATAACTAAACCATTTTTGGAGCGCGCAGGACTCGGAGAAGTCGTCAAAATAACAAATTATCTCCTTGATACCAAGTTCATTTTGGCACTGCAAGAAAGGTGGCGACCCGAGACGCATACATTTCATCTTCCAATAGGTGAATGTGCAGTTACTCGAGGACACTCACATGTTATTGGGTTTACCCATTAATGGTAAGGCGGTAAACGGTCTCACCAATCCTAGCGGTAGTGTGATAGAAGAACTCTTAGGGGTTGAACCAACCCCAAGAGATCTGAGGGGCCAAAAAATATTATTATCATGGCTCAAAAGAATTTTTGGAGAGATGAGGTTAACCCGAGATTCTCCAGAAATATTGAAAATTAGAAAAACAAGAATTTATATTATGTTACTAATAGGTTTATTTTTATGTCCGAATACAAGTGGTAACGCTGTTCACTCTATGTATTTAGTTTTATTAGATGATATAGATAAAATAAGAACATATAGTTGGGGGTCCGCTACACTAGCGCACCTATATCGGTCTTTGTGTAACAATGCAATAGCAAATTCGGGAAATTTTACCGGATGTGGTGTTCTTCTTCAAGCTTGGGGATGGTCAAGGTAATTACTTAGACCAAGAATGACCAATTTTTCATAGTCTTTTACTTAATTAATCCTATTATTAACAAATGTTTTCTTTTCGATTTGTAGGTGGTCTTCACTTGGGATGAATTACGCCAACTGTCCCCATTTCAGTATCACCCAATACAGAAATCTTATAGATCATTTGGGACAAGATGATGTAAGTACTAATATTATTAGAATATAGTATCCTTAACCTACCTATTTAGAATATAGTCTCCTTAAATATTATTAGGAAATACTAAATATTATTTTTTTTCTCTTACAGTTTATTCTAGAAGCCATTCATGAAGTTAACCAACACGACTCTACAGTGTGGAGTGCAAAGGTGCCGATTATCAACTTCACCACCGTGGAGATGCACAACAGTGATCGTGTAAAGCTTCAGTTTAGAATGCTTCAAGATATTCTATGTCCGCCGAAATGCATCCCCGACAAATATCACATCGGTAAAGTCTCCGACCAATGGGAATATTCTACATGGACCAAGTATGCAAAACATGAGTGTCGTGAATGGAGGCATCGCAACCATTTTGTTTTGTCCGACACTGTGTTTCCATACGAGAGAAAACAGACTATCCAATACATGAATTGGTATAGGGAGGTATCCATTGGTTTCATTTCGCATCCAAGATATCTTGTTGACCCACGCCAACAAGCCTCATCATCAAGACCCCAACAACCAACCCAACCCCATTTCCAACAACCAACCCAACCCCATTTCCAACAACCAACCCAACCCCATTTCCAACCACCAACCCAACCCCCACTCACACAACCACAACTATATGAACATACCCCTAACTAATTCACCTCATTCACACAAACGTATTCACAGTCCGAATACCAACAATATCCACCACAATACCAAACATACTCCATGGATACTACAAACCAAATAAACACCCAGTTTCAAACACCAAATTAGCCCTTACCCACCCAAACATTTACACCCATGTCACCCTACGACCAGACAGGCTATCGTCCTAACATTGCCTCATCCAGCCAACCACCCCAAAATAATTATGAAGGCATGGACAACCCTTTTGATTTGGATGACTTTACGGAGATGGAATCGTCTACATGGGCTGCAATTTCTTGAAGACGACACAGTGGACCCGACTCCACCACAAAGACCACCAAGAAACGTAGTAATCGAGGATGCGGTACGGGCGGACATTTAAACCGACCTAGTCGTAGAAATTAGTGTATCATATCACTCATATGTACCCATTTGTGATTAAATGAAAATTGTAATTATTATTTAATATTAAATTTATTAAATACAATTTAATTTTTATTTATTATTTAGAAATTATTAATGAAAATATTAATTATTATTTATTTATTAATTGTTAAAGATATAAAAATTATTTTAAAATTATTATTTATAAAATTATTATTTATTAAATATTTTTTAATTGTTAATTATTATTTATTAAATATTTTTAAACTTATTATATATTTAAAATTATTTTAAAAATTCTTTTATGGGTGACTCCAAAGGGGATGGTGCCCCCTTATAAATTATAGGGTGCCTCCAAAGGGGATGGCGCCCCCTTATAATTTATAAGGGTGACTCCAACACCAATGACGCCCCCTTGCAATTTAAAAAAAAAATAGTGAAAGATGAGTGGTTTGGTATATATGATGGAATGTTGAGTAAAATAGAAATTAGGGGGTGAGATGTTGGTTATTTGGGTGAAAAATTATCACCAATAAACATTAAAGATAGTATTAAAACATTAAATATAATAGAAAAAAATTAATGATAAAATAATGTCATTGCTAATCTAAATTAAGGAATAAAAGCATTATAATTGACCTAATTATCCATAAATTTAAGAATGTAAATAGATATTAGTACGCTAAAAATGTAATTATCTAGGAGGTATATTTACCATAGTTTTATTTGAACACAAAATCATAGTTTGTACATTCTAAGAGCACCTCCAATGGTGCAACCCATTTTTGAGTTCTTTGTGGGACCCACTCTTTTAAAGCAACTCATTCAATTTTTACTCCAATGGTGCAACTTCAAAGAACCCATATTGGGTCCCACCACTTTATTAAAAATATATTATTTATATTAAATTTATTTTATTTAAAATTATAATTTAAATATTTAAATTTTAATTAATATAAATACAAATTAAACATAAAATTGAAAATAATAATTAAAATTAAATTTAAATACATGTCACATAATTAAAAATAATAAAAATAAATAACATCACATAATTAAAAACAATAAAAATAAATAACATCACATAAACAAATGTAATTTGAAATAAAAATATGAAAATTTGGCCTAAACAAATGTAATTTGAAATAAAAAGATGAAAATTTGAAATAAAATGATAATGAGAAGAAATTGTTGGAAAAAAATTAAATATTTAGGAATAAAATGATGAAATTGTGAGAGAGAAATTTGAAATTAAAGAGCAAATAAAAAGGAGAGAAAATAGGAATATAAAGGAGAGAAAATAGAAATGATATAAATTTTTTCCAACAAACCTATATTTATAATAAATAAAAAAGTTAAAAAAATAAAATAAAGCTAAATGATTATTTTAATAATAAACCAAATGAAGAACCGTTGTTTATGTTTGCAACGTTCTACAGCTGGAATAACATTTTGTTGACATTTTCAATGCCAAGCTGGCAAACCAATTTGAAAAACCACCGTTGGAGTTGGTCTAAGTGTTTACCTTTAAATATTGAATAACCATTAGTCATTAGATTATTCGAAAAAAAATATCACACTAATTAACAATTTGACTTCGATATGTGAATAACTAATGACGTATGTTAAAATACAATTTAGACAAAAAAATTATTAAAACCCGTTTGTTTTCTAACCGTCCAAATAAACGGGAAAACAAATCGTGACCGTGAGTGTAAACAAACGCAACCAATCAATTTCGTGGAAAGCCACTATTCGTTCAAATCGTAAATCTCCATTGACAAATTCGTATCAAAACTCGTTCTTTCTCAAAAAATCTTGTTCATCAAGCAAACATAACAAAACCTAACATGCCAATTTCAAAACCACCCAATAGTTACGATAAATTCAAGTCATAGTCTCATTTTCAGCGTCATTATCACATTCTCATTGATTAAACTCAAATTCGATTTGCGCAAGATGCTTCCACTATTGAAGCTTGGAACGCTCGCTTTGAAAACCCTGAGTAAACCAGTTGCAAGTAGACTCAAACAACAAGCTGCTATTCATCCTAGATTCCGTCAACTCATCGTTGATATGGCTCAGGTAACTTAGGGTTTGTGACAATGAGATTCAAATTGTGATTTATTTTGATGTGTTCTGTTAGTTTGAAATGGTTCAGGATTTTTGGGTAACGGAACGGAAAGGTTTATGAAATGTGATAGTAATTTGATATTTTGTATTGAGTCATAAGAGTGGTTATAGAATTGGTTACCTAGTTAATTGAGGGCAAGGGCTTAGGTTAAATTGTAGGTGAGGGGTTGAAGATGTAGTATGAAGGACGGACACCAGAAACACGACACTGACATGTCGATGATAGTAATAATTTGAAAAAATGAATAAATTAAATGTAATTACAAGTGATGGTGTCGGTTTCAGACACCGATACCGACACAGATACAATTTTTTTTAGAGGCGTCGGTGCTACAGTGAATGTAGGGATTCGAATTTTGTTGGTTTTAGGAAACTAAAAAATGGTGTTATTTGTGAAAGGGGAAAAGAAAAAACCTTTGAAACCCTAGCTGTCCGAGTCACTGCCACTGGAATTTCGCAGTTTGATCTTTCTTGAGCTTGATTCGGAATCACATAAGAAGGATTTAGAGTTGCTGTTTTATTGTCTACTGGCTTTACTTGGTCACAAATTCGACAGTTTATGAGTGTGTTTTTCTTCTTCGTCTTCATTCTCTTATACTATAATGATTAAATTCCTTTCATATGCTATTCATTTTCTTCCAAGTCTCTGCCATATTAGAATCTAGAGAACATAAGTTCACATGTCTTAATTTTTTTTGTGCCAAATTCTCCAAAGCTTCTATTATCATTCCATTTGGTTCCTGATAAGAGATCTAACTAGTAAAGCCATACTTCATCAAATGTGTTCGGTATTAAAATACTGATCATAACAGAAAAATTGTATTTTGGTTCAACTATGCATTTTAGTCCTCTACTTCGAGTTAGAATTTTGACTATGTCTTCTGGCTTTTATTCTTCTCTACTCACTATGGCAAGTCCTGTTTTAAATGAAACAGTCTGTGATCTGTTTTTTGATTTAGGTATTACTATGTTTTAGAGAAACTGTAATGTTAATACTGATTTGTACATTGACCTTGGATGTAAAGTTAAGAGAAACTTTAACGTTGATTTTCTTACCTTTTATTTTTGAAACAGTCTAATCATCAAATCACAACAAAGATGCAAAGACGTATATATGGCCATGCAACGGATGTTGAAATTCGCCCTTTGAATGAGGAAAAAGCTGTTCAAGCTGCTGTAGACCTTATCGGAGAACTCTTTGTCTTCTCGGTAATGTGAACTTATAATGTGGAATTGGCTTAAACTATTTTACTTATGCTTCATTATTATTAAAGACATGGATTTCATTTTATGTGGGAAATTATAACCATTCACTTGAAGCAAGTTAACTTAATTGGTAGAATCTGCCACAGGCTACTGGGTGATATAGAATTTTGCTAAGAACTAAAAGCAATAAATGAAAGTTATTCTGTGAAATGGAACATGGTTAACAAACTGAATTCAAAATATTAAGCATGGTCTGCTTGCGTTTTGAGGGGAAATTACATTGAATGAAGTTTGTTTGCTGCTCTCTTTATTAGCTGTTTTGACTTTTGAGGTTTACACCGTGTGTTGGTAGTTACTGTAATTTTGAAACTTCACATTGAACTCGGCACTTGGTGTTAGTTTTTATATTCGACTAATGAGTTGGTAATATGTTATACTATTGAGTTAACTCTTAAACTATTACGAGTTATGGTCCCAGGACTCTAAAACAAGTTAAGGCAAAATTCGAAAAACTTGGTGAATCTTGTCTCTACTGACAAACACAGAGTCTGGTCAATTTTGTTGGTTACTTGAGTTGAGTTTCCTCTGTTATGCAATATGTTTATATCCATGAATCAAATTTATCTTGTTCTGTTTTGTCACTCAACGAAATATTAGTGTAGAGCCAAATACAGCATAGCATACTTGTTGGGGGTCAAAAATTGAATTATACTGTTATTGACTCTCAGACACAGGACTTGAGAATAGAATTTCATTTTGTACTAAAATAACTTGGGTGCACAGTCACATGCCTTGTTTTTGATTGTTTGCATCTGTTCTGATCTTAGGTTGCAGGTCTTCTCTTGATCTTTGAGGTACAAAGAAGTGCTAGATCTGAAGCACGGAAGGAGGAGCAACGAAGAAAAGATCTAGAGGTAACTTCAAATAATCATCTTGTACACATATAATATAACTCGACACCGTGTATCTTCTTTAGTTTCAAACTTGTCAAGTTTTCTTTCCCTTTCAAATGTTAGTTGTTTATTTATTTTGGTTTTGTTTCAGAATTGCTCTAATACTTTGTTTATATATATTATTTCCTCTTAACTTCAATTATCTTACCGTGCATCTTAAGTTACAATGCTACTAATATTACATTTTCCATCTGCTACCCATTTATCACTCCAAGTTTAATATACAAGTCATAATTCTTCTTCTTCTTTAGGCTATGAAGCAAAGAAATGATGAATTGGCAGAAGAAGTAGAACTTCTTAAGCATAGATTTGAAGAACTGGAACAGCTTGCTCGGGGACGTGGACTCACTGGCATTCTAAATTTCAAAAACATCATCAGTAGCAAGGAAAACGGAAAGACAGAGAAAACGGCTTGACCCGATGAAAAGAATAATCACTTTTCACAATTTTTTATTTATTTATCTTCGGCAGATATATAATTGACACAGTTTCTGATTCATTTGAGGATCTCCTCGACAAGATTTTCTTTTTACCACAGTTGCTAACTTCAAATTCACTTATTGAAATATTCTCATTGTATTGGTCAAAAATAAACTGCAGAGACTGTATAGTTTTTGGTGAAAGTCAAAGATGAATGAATACAAAGTGATTGCATCTGTGCCTTGCAACATAGCAAGGGCCTGGTGTTCTTATTTATTTAAGCATTGCTTTAGAACCTCCGTTGGAATAGTTGAGAAAATGATTGTAAAAGTGGATGAATTAGAATTTCCAGTGGAGTTTGTGATCATGGACTTTGAAGAGGACAAAGATGTTCACATAATCTTAGGCCTACCGTTCATGCATACTGCAACGATGACTGGATATTAAGCATGATTAGGTTACTTAGTTATCTTAGTAATTGCTTACACCTTCTAAATGCAAAAACTGGAGAATTTTGGAATGATTGCTAAGTTTCGAATGTTATTTTCAAAACCAGCATGCCAAGTGTTTATTCATATGTCTAAACCATGTTACAATTCTTATTTTACAATTTTAATGATTGGGATGAATGATAGTGATAAGAAGATATTATACCATGCTTTACAATGAAAAATTAGACAGAGTGGTAAAGTTCAAAAATTTCTTGATGATTATTTATTCATGAATAACATCTCTTAAGACTCATTTCACTGGCTGCAACATCTAGGATTATATTCATACCAGGTATATGAGCCAATAACTTTTGTCGCATTATGTGCTGTGCAGGGCCTGAGGACTGAGATGTGTGAGTTTTCCAATTTACTTTAACTTTTTTTGAAACCATCACTACTTGGTATGATTTTATTTTGATTGATTATGTACTTATTCTTTAACTTGTTCAAGCCACTTCATCTATAAAGTATACGTGTGAGGGAGTGATCCCTCAATTTCTTTTGAGTTGTATTTTGAAATTTGGTTCTTTTGGAAAAATGACAGGATTAAATCTAAAAGAAGAAAAAAAATTATGTCCCTTATCCTTAGGATTAAGAGAGCATTTGTTGTATATTAGGTTATTGACAAGTTGGGAAGAGGATAAGCTTTATTGTGTCATATGTGGAAATTGAAAAAGATGCATGATCTATAATTGTGAAATTAACAACAATGAAAATAAAAAGAAAGAATGCCAAACTGAAAAGAAAAATATCAAGGAAAAATAAAGAAAATTTAAATGAAAATACTGTGGAAAATATAGGAAATGAAGTAAGAAAGAAAAGAGTGTTGTGTCAAAAACAATTTAGAAATGATTGATCTCTTAAATCTAGGCTTTTTGAATTCAGAAAAAGAAACTTTCTAAATTTGGCCATGTTAAAATATATAAAATACCTTAGTGATCTATGGTTAAAACTTGTTTGTATTGATATAGATGAAAATTAATTTGATTGAAGTGAAATGTTTTGTTTGGCATAAGAAGCACTCACATTTTTTAGTTATACACTTGTGATGATATTTGATTGACAATTGATTAGATTTTATGATTGTATCCTTTGATGAAGAAACTTATTCATAGACACTACTAATTCCATATGACTATATTGAATTGAGTTGCTGACATATATGTTAAGAATCGATCATATTAATATATTAATATATAAATATAGAATATTTCCTAGAATATTTTTTTTAGTTGATCTAATATAGAATAGAATACATTGTAGTATATTTCTAATGTAATGAATCTAATAAAATATAAATCTTATTATATATTATAATATTTGCAGTGTAATTCAAACACACAATTTATTTTAAATGTCTCCCGCTCTTTCATATTTCAATACAATGAAAGTTGGATCAGATAGTTAGATTGATCATTTCAAAACCCATTTGGTAACCAAAGGATACATACAAATATTTGGTTTTCATTATGGTGACACTTTTTCTCTGGTGACCAAGATCAGTTCAGTCTATTTCTTTCTTGCATTGGATGTCATTCATCATTGAACGCTCCATTAGTTAGACATTAGAAATATCTTTTTATACGGAGAATTGAAGAAGAAAGTTTATATAGGTCAACCTCCAAGTTTTAGTGATCTTAGAAATTCTAGACTTGTATGTCGCTTTCATCGTTATCTTTATGAGCTGAAACAATCCCCTCGTCCTTGGTTTGGTCGCTTCAGCCCTGCTTTGATACAATTCGGTATGATTAGATGTGAAGCAAATCATTCTGAATTCTTCTTTCATTTCTCAATCGGTCGACACATCTTTCTTGTGGTCTATGTTGACGACATTGTTATCACTAGAGACGATATATAGGGTATCCAGCGTCTCACAACCCATCTTTTCAAAGAAATTCAGACAAAAGACTTGGGTCTACTCAAATACTTCTTAGGAATTAAAATTGTCCAATCCTCATCAGGCATTGCAATCAACCAACACAAGTATACATTAGACTTTCTCGGTGAAATTGGTATGCTTGATTGTCGTCCTATTGATACTCATATGGATCCCAACGTCAAGCTTCTTTCGGGTCACGGGGACATTGAAAGACTTGGGAAGATATCAATGACTTATGGGTAGACTCAATTATTTTATAGTCAGTAGACCGAATATTATATTTGTGGTGAGCATCATAAGCCATATTCTGAGTGGTCCTTGTGATAGTCATTGAGATGTAGTTATTCTAATTCTTAGATATGTAAAGAATTCATTAGGAATAGGATTATTATATGAAGATAAATGTGATGCTAAAATCATTTGTTATTAATATGCTGACTAGATCGAGTCGTTGTCATATAGGAGATCCACATCTGGTATTGTTCTTATTAGAGGGAATATGATCTCATGGCGAAGAAGGAAACAAAATACAGTTGCATTATCTAGTGCTTGACTGAAAAAATTTACTTTCAGAGCTTTGGTTTGTAGATCTGAACCACAAAACTCATATGCGACAATCAAGCAACATTCCACGTTGCATCTAATCTGGTTTCCATGAACGCATGCACATAGAAATAGATTGTCATTATGTAAGTGACAATGTACTTTTAGGAGAAATCACCACAAATTTCGTCAAATCTGAAGACCAATTGGATGATATGTTCACTAAGTTTCTTAGGGGTTCTTGAGTGGATTATATTTCTAATAAGCTTGGTTCATATGACATATATGATTCAGCTTTAGGGAGAGTGTTAAGAATCAATCATATTAATGTTTGTATATAGAATATTCCTTAGCCTATCTAGAATAAAATAGGATATATTGTAACATATTCCCTATATAATTAATTAAATAAGTTGTAAATATCACTATATAATACAATCTCTATAGCGCTATTCAAACACACTATTTATTCAAATGTTTCTCACTCTCTAATATTTTCATAATATCTACGCAAGTTCTCAAAAACATATTTAATTGAAAACTATAAGTTATTGAGATTGTGTGTTGTGAAAAATCATGTGATGTTTGTCTCTAATTTTGTTTGAGGTAAAAAAAAATACTAATTTGGGTAGAGTTGATAAGTGTGTACTTTACCTCGTTATCACTATTTTTTTCACACACTTATTAGCTTACTTGCACATGAAGTAGCATGGAGAATCCTCGATTTGTGCATAATATGAATAATGTCATGAAATAACTTATTTATCCTATTTTATTACTGTTATTACACAAGGATTGTCTTATTTTTATCGTCAAAACGTTAAGCAAGATGTATTAAAAGTTTATGAGACATCTTAGCTCTGCTAACCTCTGGTGTGCTACTTTTGAAAAGATTTGATTTTGGGTACGTTTGATTCCAGATTCAGTGTGATTAATTTCATAAAGATTTTAGTCCAAGATTCTACTGAAATTGTTTTGCAAATATTTTGGTTGGAAAAGACTTAATTAAAAAATCTTGCATGAAGAGATTTAATTACATTTGCTTTAAATGCAAGATATTATTTGCGAAATTTTTTATTCGGTTGGATTTTGATTGTACCCTAATGGGATTTTTGTTGGATCAAAATCTTTATATAAAGAGATTATTCTCCTTATTTAAAACACACTTTAGATAGAATATCCACTCAATTGGAGAGTTTTTTTTAGTCTTTGGATTGTGTTTCTTGTGTAAAAGTTTATCCTTGTTAGTCTTTCATACGAGAGAGAGAGAGAGAGAGAGAGAGAGAGAGAGAGAGAGAGAGAGAGAGAGAGAGAGAGAGAGAGAGAGAGAGAGAGAGAGAGAGAGAGAGAGAGAGAGAGAGAGAGAGAGAGAGAGAGAGAGAGAGAGAGAGAGAGAGAGAGAGTGTTTTTGGTCTTTAATTGTGAAATTTTTCATGTCATAAATAATTGGTTTTTACAAACACTTGGAAGAGTTGAGTGAAAATAAGGGGATATCGGATTTAAGGGGAGCCTTAGTTGAAATTCACGAGTAGTATTAAGAAAAGGGCACTGAATTGGGATAGTTTAGATGAGATCATTATGTATTATTGACTATTTAAAACTTTGTTCCTCAGGGGACAGATATCAAACTCGATGCTTCGACAACCGGTTCAACAAGATACACTAGAACCACTACAATAACAAGTAATGCATGATGGAGCAGAAAAGCAATAAAGAACGCAATCAATTATTTACTCAGTTCGGTGAAACTACATCTACGTCTGGGGGGTGAGTTTATAACCCATGAAAGGAAATTCATTATTAATAGCTTAACACATTTAAACTTATAAGCAACAACAAACCTTTCGTTGTTCAATGCTTATTCCTAACATTATCCAATTACTATATTTATAGCCTCCCTGTAAACATGAGAACCTACTCACTTTCTTCTCTACCACAAAACCAGTGATAGGGGAAAACAACCAATATACCATAGTGATCATCTTCAATCTTAACAAGATGAAATAATGTTGAATATAACAACTCCAGTAAACAAGCCTTCTATGCCAAGTTACTGAAACATAGAGGTGTACATAACAATGTT